GGAAGAAGATAAAAAATTGAACTCAATTTTCCCTGGTTTTCTTTTCTCCTTTTTTCTTTTTTTCGCATTTGCGCTCTGATATTCATGTGACAATATATATATCGTCACATGAATATCAGAGCGCAAAGGCGAAAAATAATAATAAAAAAATAATAATAATAATAATAATAATTCGTTTTTTTATTTTCTTTCTTACAACTCCCCCTGTTCAGAACCTCTTGCGTACATTGGTAAAGAATTTCGATGTGACCCTGAGGCAAAAGTTGTTCAGTTTATTTTTTTCCATAACATAGTTTTTTTCGGTTTTTCTCTAGGTTGTTTTTTGTTCCGGGCGCCCGGGCACCCAACTTGTACCCGGATACACGCCTGTGTCCGGCCGGGCATGACGCCCGGGCAGGGTCCGTGCAACCCCAGCGCAAAAAAAAAAAAAAAAAAACGAAAGTCAAAAAATTCCAGAAAAAAAAATATGTCCGTGTAGAATTGCAATACAAACAAATTTTGGCTGAGGGTCATATCAGAATTCCTCACCGAATCGGAGATAAAAAAGAAAATAACAAACTCACACTAAGGGATCCCCCTTTAAACCCCCTTAGCCCCTTTAAAAACAATTTATACCCCCCTTCCCCCCCCTTGAAGGCCAACTCTCAATAAATGAAAAGAGCCCGTAATTGGTGTCCTCGGTCCTCTGGGAGAACGCAGACAGGCACCAAAAAAAAAAAATGCACGCCCGTGTACCTCGGGCGTCACACCCCCCCCGGGCGTCACGCCCAGCTGCCCGACCGGGCATTACAATCTTCCTAGGGTTTTTTTTTTTTTTTTTTGCTGGGACGCCCGGGAGAACATGGTGACCCGGGCGGCCCGGCTGGTAGCCTAGATAATAATAGAAAAAGTTAAGAAAGCAAATGAGAGGGAAGGAAGGCGGTGAATACATGGGTGAATGGACTGATAATGAAGAGGTAATAAAGGGGCTGATGATGAAGTAGATGATGATGAAAGGTCTAATAAACGGGCTGATGATGAAGCAGATGATGGCGAAAGGGCTAATCAAGGGGTGATGATGAAGTAGATGATAGGGTGAATGAACTGATCATGAAAAGGAGCTAATAAAGGAGATGGTGATGAATTGATGATGGTGAAAGGGCTAATAAAGGAGCTGATGATGAAGTAGATGATGACGAAAGGCTACTAAAGGGGCTAATGATGAAGCAGACGATAGTGGATAGAGTGATAGCAAAGAGAATGCTAGAGAAAGGGCCTCGCTCCACCACTCACGAAATGTGCAAATTGATAATGAATCTCCCGCAAGAACATGGGAAGATCCACAGCCATAATTTGTCTTTTCTACAAATTGTGACTAGTGGAGCGAGGCCCAACGAAAGGCCTGAGTGCGAACGGGGAGATGCTAAACGAGATGGCGATGGAGAGGGTGACGGTGAAGGAGACGATGGCGAAGAGCGCGATAGTGAAGGGGTTAAAGGTGAAAGGAGTTTAGGATCGAAATAAAAGGGGATAGTGAAAGGAGCATATTTATTTACTTGATTTTAGCCGCTTGACGGTGAACGGAGTTGATGGTAAGGGGGTGAAGGTGAAAGGGGGATCGATGAAGGGGGTGATGCGGAGGTGGGTTTGGGTGAAAAAGGTATCGTAGAGGGGATGATGGTGAAGGGGAGTGATTTGTTAAGCGGGTGATGATGAAGAGGATAATAATGAAGGCAAGAAAGATGAGACAAGGGTGAGGGTGAACGGAGTGAAGGGGAAGGGAGGCATGATGAAGGGGAAGATGGTGAATGGAATGAGGACATGGGTATTTTTTTTTAATTTGATGAATGTAAAAAAATGGAGGGGGCAAAGGCGTAAAGGGTGAAAGGTGAAAGAAGTGATGGCGAACGGATAAATAGTGAAAAACACAAAAAGACAAGAAAAAGAGAACCAATACAAATTCAAAAAAATGAATGGGGTAAAGGCAAAAAAGGTGAAAGTAAAAGTGGTGACGGCGATGGTATAAAATAATGAAAACCACAAAAAAGACAAAAAAAGAGAAAGAGACAAAAAGACAAAAAAACGAAAAGACAAAAGACACAAGAAAGACCAAAAACAAAAAGCGAAATCAAAAGGCTGGGGAAAGAAATGGCGCATGGTATCGTGGTGAAGGGGTGGTCAGGATATTGAACGAGAAGAAGAGAAAAGCAACGATGCGGAAGAGGATGACGATAAAGTGAATGATGAAGCAGGGATGATAGAGAAAGGTGTGATGACATCTTTTTATACTGTGTATGCTTAATGCAAAAACAAGATGAATCCAACCAAATGAATCTAGCCCAGTTGCTACACGCACGATCTCTCGATATGCGTCAGACCCAACCAAATGAATCCGTACGCAACCTGATGAACAGAATAAGATCATTTAGAGTTACCTACCTTCTTCCCCCGAATACAACGTACGGTCATTATAGCTGTATCTAGACTGAAAGATGCCTCAAATATAGCTATAATGACCGTACGTTTTATTCGGGGGAAGAAGGTACGGGGCAGGTCAGGTCAAAGTTTATATCTCAAGGCCTTCTTCGAATACAAGAAGGGAAAAAGAAAGGGAAATCTAGACACCTCTAGATTGCTGACGTCAACGGCAAACTTCACTGATCAAGGCCTTCTTCGCATACAAGAAGGGAAAAAGAAACGGAAATGTAGACACCTCTGGATTGCTGACGTGGACGTTGACGGCAAACTTGTCTGCTGACGTGGAGGGCAAACTTCTCTGCTGACGTGGACGGCGACGAAGTACACTGCTGACGTGGCACCTCCGACGTAGACGACAAAGTTAGTGAGTATTGAAGTTGGGAGGGCGATGAAGATGGGCGGGCGTAGTGATAACAAGATGTTTCGAAGAGTGGCGCGGGTCAGATGGCCACTAAGTATGATGACCAAAAGTATGATGACCAAAAGTATGATGACCAAAAGTATGATGACAAAAAGGATGATGACAAAAAGGATGATGACCAAAAGGATGATGATTGCAACATGAATGATGCTGGTGTATTTGGTAAGAACAGGAGTGGCGCGGGGTTGGGTGGAAGGGAGGAGGGGAGGGGTTGTACAGGAAGATGATGGTTGTACAGTAAGTGATCGTGTAAAGATGGAGATCCCTTCACCAAATAGTATGCAACAGACATAACGCATTCACTGCTAAACACGTGGTCCCTTCAATCTTTCTTTTCCTTTTTTTCCTTTTTTTTTTTCTTCTTTTTCCGTAGACCCTTCAATCTCATCTGTGGCCAAATCAATCAACCATCCCATAATCAACCATCCCATCAATTAACCATCCCATCAATCAAGCAACCACGCCAATCAACCAACCCGTCAATCAACCATCCAATCCCATCAATCAACCATCCGATCAATCAACCATCCCAGCAATCAACCAACCAATCAAAGCACCTATTAATCAAACAACCAACCTTTCAAACGATAGACCCATGAAAGAAGCCCAGCCATTCCAACAATGAACCCATCAATCCACACATCAATTAATCAACACACCAATCACTCGCTCCAGCCTTCGCCATCCCTTCTCCGACCGCTACTACCTCTTGCGACTACCCCGTTAACGAGGTCCGTTTGATTGCCCACTCGTCTCGGCGTGATTGTTTTTTTGGCCGTTTGATTGCCCACGATGGTAGAGCACACACCACCATCACTTTCGGTTTAACCTGTCCCAAGAGATAACAACAACATGTAATCCGTTCGTTACATGGGCTGATGGGTATCAACAACAACATCATTGCTATGAAAAACGAAGGGATAACGTATCATCTTGGCTAGAGGGGTCTAATTTGGGCCAGAAGGTGACAAGTAGTAATAGGGAAAACCGGGAAGCCTAAAACTTTTTTTTTTTTTTTTTAGAAACAAAAAAGGAGCGACCGCCTCGAGATATCGTCATTCATTGAGCTGACCGGCCCCAGGTAATTCAGAATGATTTTATATCGTTCATCTGATCACAACTGGATCTGTACCAACTGAGCTAGTAATAAGGAAAACTAGAAGCCTAACACTTTTTCGATTTAATGTTGTACCCTTTAAACGTTTTTTTTTTTACTTAATAAACATGGACCAATTGGTATTGACAACACCATTACCTCTCAGGGCATACTCACACGAGCTTTTTGACTTATTTCTGGACAGAATTGCGGCCAGATGCATACGTGTTCGGTGGTAGATGAGGTCAGATACATTCACGATAGTGCTAGTGTGAGTACGCCCTCAGACTACAGGTTTTTCGACCATATTTTGTCCCTCCTGCGGCCACATACATCGATGACTGCAGCTCTTCACGCTCCAAGAACAGAGCCAACAAATAAAATCCCCTAATCGTTTACCTCCGTTATCGTCAACATTGCCACCGACAGCGCCACAACCAGCGTCAAAAGTTTTGCGAGCCCCATCAACAATCATCATCATCATTATCATCTTCATCACCATCATCGAGTCGTCCTACCCATCCTCATCATTGATTTGCCCTACCCATCATCATCACCATCATCATCATCACCATCATCATCATCATCATCATCATCATGATGGTCATCGTAGTCATCATCATCATCCTCGTCGTCATCATCATCATCACCAATCATTCATCATCATCATCATCATCATGGTCATCGTCATCATCATGGTCATCGTCATCATCATCATCATCCTCGTCGTCATCATCATCATCATCATCATCATCATCATCATCATCATGGTCATCGCCATCATCATCCTCCTCGTCGTCATCATCATCATTATCATCATCATCAGTCATATGCCCGAAACATTCCACAACATAGTCATCAATCCAATCCTCGTCATCATCATCATCATCATCATCATCATTTGTTCTTACTAATTTGTTATCATCTCATCATCATCATCATCATCATCATCATCATCACCACCACCATCACTGTGGTTTTTCACATCACGCTGCGGATTGCTGCAGCGTATCCTTCATCGGCATCATCATCATGAATTTGACGTCGTACGCGTTTCCTGCATTGCCATCCTAAGCCATACGTTGCCCCAATTAAACACGAACAATCAATACGATACCCTCAGCATTGCTCTCTCCCAGCAGAAGCTTCATTCCAACCCTTGGTCATGAATCATCAACACCATCACCATCTCTCTTTCTCTCTCTTTATACATTTCTGTACATATCGCAGGGAAGAATCTGGTTGCTAACACTTGTTTATTTCTTTCAACAGTATATGTGTATGTCTTCCATTGCCAGGATGGAACCCTACCGTCGATTGCGAAGTCGGATCGAAGACCAGTAATGCAGAGCAAGGGGAGAGTAGACAAGGAGCCCCCTGATGCTTCCATAGAGAGAACCACCTCCGTCTCCGCATGCACACGATATCCTCTCAAAGGACTGGTAATGGCTCGAGCCCCCACGCCCGCTTTAGCTCCACTTCCTACACCGGACGGCTCTCGACGGATAGTGATATGGGAGAACTTCCTCCCAGTCTTCATCCCGTTCTTTTCCATCGCCCCACCCACATGAAAGCACCCCAAGAACCCCCCACCCCTTCCTCCACCTCCCCATCCCCCCTGATCACGATAACTCGACATTGCTGCTCACGATTCTCTCTCTCTCTCTCTCTCTCTCTCTCTCTCTCTCTCTCTCTCTCTCTCTCGTGTGCGCGGTAATGACAACAGGGAATAGTAAATCATCAACGAATCACGACAGAGGTAGAAGTATTGGACTACTGCATTGACGGCGACATTAAGAGCAGGTCTAAGAGAGGAGACGAAATGAAATCCCGCACCCTAACTCAGCATGAAAGGCAAGCACCCTACGCATCTACGCGCCTTCGCTCCAACACAGACGACAACTCTCTCTCTCTCTCTCTCTCTCTCTCTCTCTCTCTCTCTCTCTCTCTCTCTCTCTCTCTCTCTCTCTCTCTCTC